GTGTGTGTGTGTGTGTGTGTGTGTGTGTGGCGTCGTCTTTATGATACTGTTTTCTCTAGAACATCATTTTACTCCTTGCACAATTTAAACTGTATTCTTTTTCTAATTTCCTCTATTACTCCAAAAAMATGACTAGCTGAAACGTCAGTAGAGCTAAACACTTTTTCACATTCTTTAAGTTTCGCTTTTTATTCACGTGTTTTAACTATTCTAACAGGTTTGGTAACCTGTGCCCTCAAGACAGGTGCATGTTCATGTAAGCCTATTGAGTGGCTGGCGGGTTGGCTGGTTATAGGCTTGTGTGTCTTTCAATTAAAGAACAAAAGATATAGGAAACGAACCATCACCCTCAAACTTCTTTCGCGGCTCTCCAATCGTGTTTGTAAAGCTAGATATCGTCCTACGATTGATTCTGTAATGCTGCATTATCTTCTTAAAGTTATTACAGCGATAACCACGCAATAAAGAGCAAAAAGAGGAAACTTAGACAATCGAAAAAAAGGTTGATGTCAACAGCGGGAATGCGGAAATGAAACGATTGTTCTTCCTAGTGAATTGCTACTTATTCTTGGCGTTATTATTTCTCAAAAATTGTCAATCAAAACTTGAAAGTAAGTATGAGATATATGATATTTTATTAAATATATCCCTTTTTTGGTAATTATATTTTTTAAAGAAAATTTTAGGTTGTAGTGTTGTTTTTTTTCCTGAAAAAAATCTATACGTTTTTTTCTAGCTTCAAGTAATCACAAGCCCAGTGAAAGGAATTTGAAAGAGTTAGCTAAGGAACTTGAAAATAACTTCTTGAATCTATCAAATCCAATAAAAACGAAGCGTAAAGGTATGTTATGGTCTGAACGACGCTATGATACTGACAGTACCTATAACTGACGGCCATTGAAATTAATGATTATACGCGTTGGTATTGCGCTTTTGGATTGTTTATCGCCGACTGTCTCGTGCGCTGCACAAATTAGACCCAGCTAAGAGGAAATAAGTGTTGTAGAATATTAGGGACACCCCATCAGCCGAAATAATCAGACCAATTAAGCCAACAACTGTTTAGTAATCTAGTTCTAACGAAACCTTAGACTGAAATCCTTTGCTTTCCCGGTCAGTGGGGTGATCTTATTGGTAAGGTCACTTGTGTCACGTACAAGAATCGAAACGGGATCTGCAACTTGTCACGCAGTATTTACGGTTTATCGTCCTTTTTAAAAGCTTCCTTCCTTTTGGTCGATTGGGTCAGTCTTTTTAGTTACCCATAGGCCTCGCTTCTAAGTCTTAAAATGATACAAATATTTGAATACAGTTATCTATTAATCCAATGTTTGACTGTCCAGGACAATTTCAGTTAATGCCACCAAAGCTAGACATCATATTTGCCTTGGACGCAAGTCGTGGATCCTCAAAGGATATTTTTGAGTATCAAAAGAATCTTACCAAGGTGTTGATCGATAGCTTCAGCATATCACCTAGCAACGCAAGGGTTGCCATAGTTTCCTGTTCAAGCAACTATGTGCACTTTAATTTTTTTCTCGATGCTCATGTCAACAAGGAATGCTTAGTTGGTTTCATTCCTACTTTGAGGTTAGTTAGTTTGAATTTTGTATTTTACCACCCATAGGGTAATCTGAAGATTATTATCTGTTTCTTAGGAAGAAACAATACCGTACTTTATTGCTTAGCTGCTCATTTCAAAAATCCCTTTCTGTTTTTGATTTATATTTCATTAATCATATCATAATCATAATCATATTTTGCTCCCCCAGGTATCTGAAACAAGAAAGAGCGCTAGGAAAATGTCTACAGTCAATTTACTGGCAAGCATTTGTAAAAAGACATGCTATTCGGAAAGAAGCCAACAAAGTGCTGTTTATCATATCAGCCGGGAAATCATCTGATATGACTTCATCGGCTTCGTATGTGAAGAAACTCGAGCGAAGAGGTGTGAAAATATACGGACTAAGGTACCATTGTATTACTGCCGATTTGTTCAATGCTTGTACCTTGCGTAATAACTTGGGTCCAACTTCCGCACAAATTAACGTCCAAAAAAAGCTTTTTCAAAATGCGCGTATGTCAAATGTATCGCGTGCTCAGATTAGAGAATGAGGCATTTTCGAGCAAGATTTTAAGCGCGCGTAAGGAAAACACATAAAAATGTTTGACATTATATATGATAAGAAGGAATATTTTTTGTAATTACTTTTAGTTAAGAGTTTTAGAAACCTCCTATAACTATCCAAAGGTTTCTTATGAACGCTGTCCGAAAATGTCTCGTCTTCATGCCTGCGCCTGCGATACTATGAAAGCGCTCGCGCATAGTCGGAAATCGGTCTATTGCAACCACTGAAATTTTTTTATTTTACTTTATTTTATGAATCTTTGTTTTATCGCGCCTCATTATTCCCAAAACTATATTTTGCTGTGCACTGAGCGAGATTATACTATTAACCTACTTATTAATTCTATTTCAGTATTGGTGCTGATAAAAATGGATACAAGCAGGTCCAAGGTATCGTGAGCCGTCCAATCAGAGAGCACTTATTTCATGTTCCAAACCTGGTTGATATTCCTACGATAATCAAATTATTGAGTGGAAAAGGTAAGAAAAATGTTTAAGAAATACATGCGTTTTTCATATTCTGATCTAAACGCGCGAGATAATGCTTACTTGTATGAGAATATATATATGAACTATATATTTGTACTGAGGTTGTAATGTATAAAATTGAGGTGATCCTTGCAGTATATCAAGCAACTTATGCAGCTGTATATTGAAAGATGCTTATTGCTGAGAAAACATGAGAGAAGCCTACGAAACCACGAAGCGAATTGTTTTAAATAACAAGTGAACAAATTAATGAAAAATCAAAGCCTAAAAACCCTAAACCATCGGAAATGTGTCAATTTTCCTAAGGGAATTCAAATCCAGATCGCGCGCGCTGGAAAAAGTCTCATTAGCTAAAAAATATAATTTCGACCAATGAGGGCCCGCGTTACGACTCATTCACGCTTGAAGTGGGGAAATGCACTGGGTATTCAGTTTGTCTTTTTATATTTATTTATTTTTCATTTTATTCAACGACATAAGAAAAAATAGCATGTACAATGATTGATGAGGCCCAAGCAAGAGGCTTATGGGCATTACAGAATATGAAAACTTAATATATGGATATAATTCTGTTTGGTTTTATTATTCTTTAGGTTATTATTCGTCAAGTTGCAAAAATGATGGAAAACCGCTGTACGATGAATGTGGGCGCTTATGCCAATGCCAAAATGGTCACGTGACAAACTGCACTCGAATCCGTAAATTCTACTCCACGATGTCAGTTCAAGAGCGTTTTTTGTTCATATTTGCTTTCAGGATCATAACAACTCGGCCACAGTTTAAAAGACAATTTAAAGAATACGCAAACTCTTATAGAAATTACTTTTCCCGGTATATCCACACAAGAAGGTATTTCTTACCATGGCATAGAGCTTTTCTCTTGAAAGTCGAGAATCTGCTTCGCTCTGTCGATTGCCGCATTACTCTTCCGTATTGGGACTGGACTCTAATATCCAAGTTTCCTCGGCCAAGTACAGCAAATATCGTGTGGGAATCTTTACGTGGCTTCGGAGGAAATGGGGTCGGCAAAGACATGTGTGTTGAAAACGGTCCATTTGGTAAAGAGAAGTGGAATTTTGAGGGAAAAGACGTATCTAAGGAATGTCTGAAGAGGAATTTTGCCAAAAATACCAAACTTCCTGATGCATTGATTATTCGTTTAGCTCTTAATACTTCAACGGAAGATTTTAAAGAGTTTGAGTTTATTCTCCGTTTAGGGTTCCACCACAGTGTGACATGCGCAATAGGAGGTACCATGTGTTCTAAAGATAATATCTGGAGCCCTGAGTACCTGATTATTGCATCATTTATTGATTCACTTTGGGGCAAGTGGCAGGACAAAGAGCGGGGACGTTGGCCTACTGGATTTCAAGATATTTCAGATATCTTACCGGGGTTTTCCATGTATACCGGAGAGGTTCTTCAGCTGAAGAAACAGCCGGGTTGTGTACGAGTAATGTACGATGAACCAAATAGTGAAGCTTTGCAAAAGATCGAGGATCTATGGGGAGGTAAGATTTCACGAAGGGGGAGGGGGAGGGGGAAGGACTCAAATTACCAGCTAAGCATTGAACGCGGCAAGCAAAGCATGAGTGGACAAAATGACGGGCCTTAAAATTTTTGGAGCTTGAAAGAATGAAGCAAAGATGGTGGTAGAATTGAATTGTTTTCATTCTTTCTGTGCATATCAATGCTTGTCGTAGGCACTTATATCATATTTTAGTCAAAACAAAACAGAAAAATAGGCAAAATTTGGGTTACAGTAGCCTGGAAATGAGGGCCGGCTTCAAAACAGCTAAACGCGCTGTGTTTTGCTGAAAACAAATTCACCGTTTAGCTGGTAAGGAAGAGAATTACAAAATAACTTGCTTTTCTTAGATCAAGTGAAAAATAGCTAAAAATTGCTTGATGACTGATAGTGGAGCTCCGCTATCAATCAGCTCTTTGATTTCATCTAAATTTACTGCCGCATTCCTGTGCACCACGAATTTGCCATAAGTCTTCTTTCGAGCTACGCAATGTGAACTTAGCATTAGCCATCTTAAAAACGAGCAAGGGCTCCTGTACTCAAGGTTCTAGTTACTCAAACCCAATTTAATTGAAAAATTATCCCCATCACAAGAAATATCCAAATTAGTCCAATCCGCGTTTGTCTCCAATCTATAGTCTATGAATCAATGCATTATATTCACATTGAAGATCAAATGTATATGCCCTGAAAACCCACTCACAGCGGTCTCTTCATAATAGGGACCTTAAGCTGCAGGACGGCGACGACGACGACGACGGCAAACATGCAATAGCACTAATTGTGCTATTCAATAGATACTCGTTGGAATGTACGAAATACTGTGCATCATTGCCGTCTTATGCCGAAAGTAAGACGTGAAATGTCCTATTTTTACGTACTAAAGAGAACGGCTACGCTAAAAGCATATCTTTGCTGATTTTCGTTTTAAGTAAAGCGATTCCAAAAGACGTCATTTCAATCTAAAGCGGGGATGCTTATTGAGTAAAACACTTGACAGACATGAAATATTAATAAAATAGAAGGTTGAAGCGCCTCAATTTCGCCGACATTGTTGCCCGTGTTGCCGTCCTGCAGCTTAAGGTCCCCCTAATCATGTAGCCCCATCAACTCTGTTCTTCACTGCACACTGGCAGTAACTCACTTGGTGGTTTAGCATATTTTATTCTTATTTACAGATATACGAAACAAGACTAACTCACAATCGAGACATATTCAACGTGGTCCATTGATTTACTCTAAAAGGGCTGAAGAGCTGTATGGAGGTCTTACTGAGGAAGAACGATCCCATCTTTCAAACCTTCCCTCTTAATCAGGGGGCGAAGGAGAGAGAGGGAGTTTAACCGCTCCGTCAAATTCTACTAAAAATCGTAAAGTTTCCTTTTTTCCGATCCCTATTTTTTGGGCTGGAGGAATTTTTGCGCTAAATCTTGTTTGCTCCTCCAATACTATTACTTTTCTTAAGTCTGAAACAGCTTTCGCGTAAACAAAGTTTTTACACTGTGAAAGCCTTCTTCATAAGAGGAAGAGGGAAAGGAAATTGTTTGGTAAATTTTTGCTTTACAGCACTATTGAATTGCTTACCGACAGAACAATCTACTAGTAGCCACATAGAATTTCGTTGTGCATGCATTCGACGCCCCCAGGTTCCGGAGTCAGTCACCCTAGCTTCATAGACAGTGAAGGCGGAACTTGAAATCAACCCAAGTACACACGCTATAACGTTTTACTTTTATTCTGTGACACTTGCTCAGCTTGAAACGCAGCTTTCAAATTTTGAGTGAAACAATATTTTGTGCATGTGGATTTATAACCATGACTAAAATCGGTTCCTACTTCTATGGCTTGTACCCAGCCTTTTTGAAAGTTTGAGTGTTAAGCAGCATGCGCAGTTACTACTTTGACACAGTTTTAGTGTTACGCATGCGCAGTTTCTACCATGACAGTTTCAGCGTTACACATGCGCAGTTTCTACTATGACACAGTTTTAGTGTTACGCATGCGCAGTTTCTACTATGACACAGTTTTAGTGTTACGCATGCGCAGTTTCTCCTATGACACAGTTTTAGTGTTACGCATGTACAGTTACTGCTACGACCTAGTTTGATTGTTACGCATGCGCAGTTATAACTATGACAGTTTGAGTAACGGCAATCAAATATAATTCACATGAGAATAGCGTGACGTATGATATTTTTGATATATTTTAAGACAGCATATTTATTTTAATATAATACAACAACCAATCTAAACTAGAATTTACATGAAAGTATGTGGACCGCGTGGCACTAATGAAATAGTAGAAGATAATATAGGTAAGTTGTAGTGCTTGGGAACGAGGTTATTCCAGGCGAAAGCCCTTGGAATTAAATTCGGAAAAATTAATTTCCGACCTCGCTGGGATTCGAACCCACGACCTTCGGAATTGTACTACCGATGCTCTACCAGCTGAGCTAGAGGTCAGACTGAGAGCAGGCCGGGGTGAAATAGATGTTAGGATCCTAACATCTATTTCACCCCGGCCTGCTCTCAGTCTGACCTCTAGCTCAGCTGGTAGAGCATCGGTAGTACAATTCCGAAGGTCGTGGGTTCGAATCCCAGCGAGGTCGGAAATTAATTTTTCCGAATTTAATTCCAAGGGCTTTCGCCTGGAATAACCTCGTTCCCAAGCACTACAACTTACCTATATTATCTTCTAGAATTTACATGGTTGTTTCCAGAAAGTTCAAATTATGAAAGTGCGTTAATATAATGAACCAAAAGAGTTTAATGAACCAAAAGAGTATAGTCGATGGATTGTATTAATAGCTTGCTTCGTTGGGTTGTGTTTCTTTAGAATATACATGTGTTTAGTCTTAGCGTGCCATCCTTCAATTACTCTGGGTTTTTTTTCTGAAAGAAAAAAGAAGTGAAGTAAACAGTTATCATTTAATCTGTTTTGAACGGAATCCTACAGTTTGCCTTCGTAACAAAATACGATTTTGGGGGACATCCTGCATGAATAAAATTAATTCCTACATATGTTGACCGATTGCAAAACACGACGTTTTTCTAGGACACGTGCCTATGGAATGTCATGGAAACGCCGTGAAACACTGTAACCAATATAAGCCATTCCGTGGTTGAGGAAAAAACTAGGTCGATTTTCCAGGATAGCGTCTGTTTTGTCCCCTAAAATGTCTCATAATGCACTACATTCAACAACTACACTACATTCATTCAACCTCGAATGACTAATAAGATGCGGGTGCATGTTTCTTAACTATTAGAATAAACACCAAAAATCTGTTAAGACATAACAAGATAAGGGGTTATTACTCACTACTGGTCCTGGTCTGGTACTCAATGGTATCTCATCCTGAAAGTTAAGAATACATTGGTAAAATTGATTTATTTTAGTAACTTCTCAAAATTCAGTTTTGTTGCTTAGGGGAGTAAAATCGCGCAATTTGTTGCGCAACATTGTTGTGTTGCAAGTCGAAGACTTGAATCTCCTTGTGCAACAATTTTTTCTTTGGCGAAAAGAGTAAAGAGAGTTGTTACTTTGCATGACAATGCTCTTTAAACTCAGCGCCATAATTATATGTAGGTTATCTTCAGCACAAGTCTCTCTTCCAGTGGAAGAGGGATCCATATGGTGCTTGTTAGGTGACATTTTTGGCAATAGATCTTTAAAACCCTAAAGACGTTTCATACCTAAACTACCACAATCCTTTTCAAGATCTCTTTTTATATTCAAATGTTAAAAATCCTTTGAGAATACCAAGACAATAGCGAAGATTAGCATAACGAAAAAAGCTACCGAAAAGGATCCTGGAAGTGTAGGTATAAACGACATCGATGCTTGAGGTCTATTTGTTCTGAAAATGCCGCGGTCTTCCCCATGTATTTAAGGGAAAACTCGAGGTTTGGACCCAAATATTTCACTGATTGCTCTCATCTCTAAGGTTCCAATATACTTACACCCAACAACAAATATAACGTACTAGTTTCACATAAAAATGCTTACCTTTTCAATATGATACAAGCGACAACAATCATAACAATGAGGGCGACGGCTAGAATAGCAATGCCAACAGCCACGAGGATTACAATTTGGTCATAATCATCTATGGCTGAATAAAAAAGACAACAACAATAACAATGTAAATATAGCATTGAAATATATAATGTGACCTGCGGATTTTGTAAGCTCTTAATACCTCAGAAATACTCCAAAACGATGGTCACGAGGCAATAGCGTAGCGCAACCGTGACATCATAAAAACGAAGACAATTAGGCGAATTCGGACAAACAAACTTACAAGTTTACTTTCAGCAGATAATTTTCACAGGCGATCGCAGTTGATCTTAGTTTACATGCATGGGTTATTATTGTAACTTTAAGTAAAAATAATAAAATCGGTTCGTATAATCCTCGTARCGGTTAAACAGAATRCAATGTTTGTCCGAATCTTTAAGCTATTTTTAGAATCAGTGCGCTGCGTTTTTCATAGGAAACATTAACATTTTTCTCCCGTGCTTAAAAATTCATTGTCCTTCGATTTCATAGCGTGCGTGTTGTTCTCTGAAATGAGCGACTCAGGAAATTGCTGCGAGGGATGCCTATACATCTTGAGACTCTTGACGCACGCACCCGTGACACATACGTATATTATACATCATGGTATTTTCTAGGCTCAAAGATTCCAATTAAACAGTTCCGTATATCGAATACCCAATACCTTGATAATATTCTATATATTATGTGGATTTTTCACACCAACCTCTTGCTAACCGTTAAATATCATAATAAAAATATTCCTAGTTCTATCTTAATACCATAAATAAATATTAAACGTGTCGTTGCTAGAACTTGAAAATATTGCTCGAATTCGTTGAGTGGGTTTTGTATTCCGACTACTAACAAATAAAAAATTACCAAAACGTCAATAAATATACTACTTCTATAACATATGATTTCAATTTTTCTTAATACCTAAATACGTCAATAAATATACTACTTCTATAATATATGATTTCAATTATTCTTAATACCTATAGTTTTTTCATCTTTTCACGGTGTATAATTTACCCTTTTATCATTACTGTTTCATTAGAAACACCGACGCAGCTCACACTAGTTTTTAGCTAGTTATATCTTCTTAACACCTAGTGTAATGTACTTTTTCTTTATGTATGTATATTTATATATATATTGTAAGGGATTAACTATAGCGAGAAGTAAGTCAAGTCGAAAGTAGCCAAAAATCTCTTAATTATTCCCGCACTTATGAGTGATCTTTAATTGAAAGTACACTTAAAGGAAGTAAACTTATATCTGTTTTAACTTTAACTTTTAGCATGTTAAAAACACAAAATACAAGAGCAATCAAGGTGAAATTATTCAACTATATCAATCTGCTTCTATAGCGTTATTAGAAAACTTTCGTAAAAGTTAACTTTGTAAGTACCTGCAACTGGTAGAATCAGGGCCAATAGGAACATTAAGGTCGTGTAGACTTGGACAAGAGCAGAATTCATGTTTGGTTCGTGTTTAGAGATCGAATAAAGGACTACTTAAGCAAACGTATGTGTTCTTGATCAATGCGAATAATATATGCTGATCAGCTAGCATTCCAATGGTAGTTTAATAATGCGTGTGTTCATGCGTTAAGAAGTCACAGAAGTCACTGTCACAATAGTACTGTATTGTTGCAGTACAATGTGGGACGGTCTTAGAGGACAAAAAGGCTCTCGAGACTGAGAAAAGGGTATGGAGTAAAAGGGTCTCAAGGAAACATGGTCTGGAGAAAAAAAGATATAGAGAAGGAAAGCTTTCTTGTTTGTTGGCCTTTTTGGTTTAAGTAAACAGTATGCATTTTGTTCTAGCTGGCACAAAAAACACCATATGAGACATGGTGAACAAAAGTTGTTGCCCCCAAGTTAAACCAGAATGCATCATATTCATATATCTCAGAAAAACTATTTAGGTTCCTATAAGAAAACATAGGCACAATCTTTTACCCTGGCGTTCCCAGACACAGGGGCTGTCTTATTCATGCATGAAGTTTCCCATCTATATAAAAGTTTTTTCTTTATTGGGTAGTGTTCTTTGCCAAAAACACTGGAACTACACTGCTGTACTGCAGATTCTAATGAAATAATCGAAGGAATTGTTTGCTTTTTAAAATTTTTGGTTTCGTTAATTTGTAAAAAACACACACAATAAACAAACAAAAACAGCAATAAAAATATAAAAAACACACAAAAACATAGCAGACGATTTTAAGCTCAATCTCTAATGAACCGAATTATCCTTGATCAACACTTCTCGAATTTGACTATCAAACCAATTTGAAATTAAGTACCGTTTTTGGCAAATACAGTGCATCGAAATCACATCTGTGTTAATATTAAATGTATACAAAGAAAATATTGACCTAAACCTCGGTTACGAATTGGATAATTTTCCATTCAATGTCAAAACAAAAACAAAAACAAAAAAAAAACAAAACAAAACAAAATTCAGAAAAGCTTGTTAAAACAGGTATAAGAAAAGTTACATTTCAAGGATCTACCCTGGTAGCCTAGTAACCATTACATATGACCATGCCGGCAGGTTTGTTAGACGGAAAACCCCTACACTTTATAATTAAGAAGACTCCATTCAATTACACTGAGCTGTTGATTAAACAATCGGTTGGCATAAAGCCACAACTGAAAAGGAGACCTACGCTTACAAACAGCATTCGGTCTAAATTGGGTTCTTCTAGTCGAATTTTTCATCCACTGTTTTTGAGATCTGAACTCACGGTTTAAGTGAATGAAAAACGCTGTCAAAGCTGCATCATATTTTTCAATGTTTTTCAAAACCAACAAAGAGATTTTCATTTTATTTCACGCCTTATAAGTATTTTTATTTATATATTCGCAGATGAATGAAATTTGCATCATATTTTTCAATGTTTTTCAAAACCAACAAAGAAATTTTTTATTTTATGACTTCACGTCTTATAAGTATTTTATTTTCTGGAGTTTAATTCGCTTCTTACTATCAGAGGAATGAAGTTTTAATTAAAACACATTTACGTTATTTTCAAAACAAAATTGGAAATCTCTACGTATGTCATACAGACTACACTTTTAGACCCCCTTAAATATTTCTTGTAAATTTAATGAATTACATGACCTTACATGGCCGCGCGATACGATTTTTATCGAAGCCTCATTCAAATTTGTGCTATTGCAATTGCTCAATTCTGGGCCCAGTTGTACAAAGGGTGAATAGCGCTATCCGATGGATAAATCCTTATCCAGTTAATAAGTCAAGGCTTTTATCCAATAGATTTATTTACTGGATAAGATTTATCCGTCGGATAGCGCTATTCACCCTTTGTACAACTGGGCCCAGAATTGAGCAATTGCAATAGCACAAATTTGAACGAGGCTTCATTTAGATAAATAAATTGAATAGTTTGGTTGAAGGATGGAAGGAAGGAAGGAAAAAAACAACAAAGAAACGAAGGAATGAGTAATAGAAAAAAAGAACGAAGAATTGAAATTAAAAAATAAAAAAAAGGAGGAATGAGCGAAAACAAGAAACGATTAAACCAATGGAAGAACAGTGCTGAAAAACAACTACCAGTAAAGCAATAATCAGAAAAAGTTAATTAATGATTTTTATTGCTATTCAAAAATAGACATCCCGTGGATATTAGAGAATTTAAATTCCTACGTGAAACAAAAATATATATATTTAATTGTATTTATTTTATTTATTTAGACAAGTTTGCCCCAAGGGCAGAATTTCAACGAGGGGCTAAATAAAAAGAGATTTTTAGATATTAAAAAGGAAATGGAAAAATGAGATTGAAAAATTAACTTGTAAACTTTCTGGCTAAAATATTATCACTAACATATATAAGCAGAATATATTTCAATATCAATATCAATATATATATATATATTGCTCAAGTAACAACATACCTCAATACAGGTCTGTAAAAGGTAACAGATGATTCGGTGTTTGGCAACCGAATTTTACATATGAATACAGTACGTAATTAGGAATCATTTTCATAGCTCTTTCTGGCTAAAATATTATCACTAACATATATAAGCAGAATATATTTCAATATCAATATCAATATATATATATATATATTGCTCAAGTAACAACATACCTCAATACAGGTCTGTAAAAGGTAACAGATGATTCGGTGTTTGGCAACCGAATTTTACATATGAATACAGTACGTAATTAGGAATCTTTTTTATAGCTCTTATGTTAACCAACGAAGGAAATGCAAATATAAACTTGTAGCGATCTAGCAGTGAACAAGAGAGAGAGAGAACTTCTGCAAAAAACCTACAATAGACGTTAAAGCCGATAAGGTAAACAAGTCATTGAAGGTACTGTGAGGCTTGACAAGCGGAGTATTATAAGACAACAATAGTTTGAATCATATAAACTTTTCATTTTAAAATCAGTGAAAACAAGAACTTTTAAGTCAACAGCGGGAAGAAACCTATTTTCCAACACATGTTTCGACGCTTGAACGCGGACTCCGCTTCTTCTTGCATATAAAATGCTGTAGATAACTTTTTTTCCCGAGACCATTTTTTCCAAACCTAACACACGAAATTTCAAATGCATCTGTGAATTAGCCGTGCCTTAGCCCTGACTTTGATCAGCCAAAAGGTTGTTTCAGGGTTCTATCTGTGAGATAGCCATGCCCTGGCTTTGATCAGCGCAGAGGTTGTTTCAGGGTTCCATCTCTGAGGTAGCCGTGCCCTGACTTTGATCAGCCCAGAGGTTGTTTTAGGGTTCAATCTGTGAGATAGCCATGCCTTGACTTTGGTCAGCCCAGAGGTTGTTTCATCGTTCAGTCTGTGAGTTAGCCTTGCCCTACACGGCTTTCATCAGCCTAGAAATTGTTTCGTCGTTCGATCTGGAAGTTAAGCCGTGCCCTGACTTTAACCCAAAGCTGATCTAAGAGGTTATTCGACTATTGTATCAATAATTTTTTTTCAACAAAAGAAAGGAAGCCGGAATTCGAAAGAAAGGAAGGAAGGTTTATCGGCTTCAAATCTTTACTAGATTATATGATGTTATTCTCATTGTATTATTTATTAATACTGTTCTAAATCAAGCTAAGGATGCTAAACAAACAACCCTTCAAACAACCCTAAATCCCCAGTATCTTTAGTATACTTAGGTTTACTGATTATTCGTGGTAGGGATTATAACTACGTTGTCGGCGTTGTCGGCGTTGTCGGCTATGCCAATGTCAACTTCCAAAACCTGGTTTAGAACTGAGTCAAAAAACTTTTCTTGAGAATTCACGATGAAGCAAACACAATGCATATGACGTATTATTTTCTTTATCCAGTAAAAATTCATGAATTTTTAATAAACTTTATCAGGGTGTTAAAGTCTTACAACAAAATCCTCTTGCTAGGAGGAATCTCACTCGTCTTTCCCACCTTTGCCAAATGAGAAAAAATCAGCTGTTTCATATGTCTAGTCATGTTTCTTGATTCCTTTGGGAAGGCTTTGAAATAATTATCTTGCTGCCAATCTAATTGATTTATAAGCGTAGAAAAGGGCATGAAGTCTTGTTCAATATCGGTTGTAATCATTCATTTCGATTGTATAAATGCTATAGAAAATATATAGTGCTCGTGGGGGATATTGTTTATAGGAAGCAACAGGGAGCTTTTTTTCATACTAAAGCTTTGGTTGATATAACTGAAATGGCAAAAGTAAATTACTGGCTGAAAGTGTACGTATATATTGATTATGTTATACTAAATACTGAGTAGAAATCTCTTTCGTCCAGCTGAGCCATGGACTACACAAACGCTTTCGTTAGGGGTGTCTAATACTAACAAGGAAGTAAAACAACGAAATAAACGGAATACAAAATTGAAATAGGTCCTGTTATCTCTCCATGCGGACCTCCATGCGCAACCACAAAATTGCTCTCGAAGGTGTTGTATATACAAACAAGAAAATAACGAAAAATATAGGAAAATAAAGAAGAAATGAATACGGGCTATCAACCACATCAAATCTGCATCAGAAAACATCTGTTAACATTTAGTCAGCTACGATTTCAAGCTCACGCCCCCACATGTGAGCCCATACAAATTATGTCTCAAAAACACGGTTTTTGAATCTATTCTCAAAATAATGACTGTCTAGGCAAAAAACAGAAGTGGATTCAGTTAATTCAACTATTCACGGACTGTATTATATGGTTTAGATTGAATTCTACTGAAAAAAACCACCGTACTTTTTGAGTTGAATGTACGCTATTGGATGTATTTTACAAGAAAACTATGCATGACATAACCGGGGTCAAGCTAGAAAATCGTCTCTATTTGATATAAAACAGAACCTGTCAAAAAAAAAAAAAAAAAAAAAAAAAAAACAGACGTGGATTTGAAAACCCCGGACTTTCATAGGAATTATAATTCATAGGAATTTGTTAAAGGAACAGAAGATTTACATACAGGGTCATTTAGGATGTAGTGTCACGCAGTTTACTTGTGCTATATAACTTTACTTTTAAGAACAACCTTTTCCTTTGGAAAGAGAGGAAAAAGACYGAAAAGAGCAAATATACCAAATGTATGGGCAATTTCTTCCAATGCATCGATTTTAATGAATCCTATAGCAACTTCTGGGCTGATATAATAAGACTAACTGTCCTAACTCACAGTTTGAATTATTTGAATCTAGAGAATTAATTAATAGGTTTAATTTTGCCGAGATCGAACAGGAGAAAACATCCGAGATTCGAATTCGTGAGAAAAACTAAACGAGATACTGAATGTATTGCAAATTTGAAACGACTCGCCAATTCACGTTGTTAAGCACCGACACAAGATGTTGTGGGCAACGTTTTGCGACACATCCGATCCGACAACACCTGTCACCTGGTGAAATATATTTCAAAAATAGAGCAGAATTTAGCTGAATTTGTCAACGGCGAGTAGACTAACCTCGAGGAATTATTCCTTGTGCACTTTGTGAATTAACCGTCCAATGAAGTGGCGAGAAACATTGCTGGCCCTCAAGACAAGAGTTAAGTGTTTGAGTGCCCCATTAGTATATCTGTTGTAATTAATTAAGTACAAAAAATGTTTTTTCTCGTTAAAGTGATGAAAAATGGTTCTATTTTAGATGAAATTTGGAAATTATCTTGGTGAGATCTTCGGAGTAACTACACTGTTACTCATTCTGCACACCGAGGCGTCAATGAATTTCTCGAACTACTCCTCGTGCAGTGATTGGTGCACTTGTCGTCATGACAATAATGGAAAGATTATTGTGAAGTGTAGGCTGAAAGAAACTAACTTCTCGCGTCTTCAGCTGCCTCCTCTTATTGATGAACTGTAAGTGACACTGACAATACTTGACTAGAAAAAAATAATAAGGAAATTTTAAGATCTTCAATCTGACCTATTTAAGTTTTTGAATATCAGTTCTAGAGTTGCTGTAACTTGCATCTTATTATTATTATTACTATTATTATTATTATTATTATTATTATTATTATTATCATCATCATTATTATGTTTTCATCTTTATGGGCCTATCTATCTTTGCTATAACGGTTTCCCCGCGTGTCAGACCACGTGTCATTCTCTTGAGTACTGTTTCTTTGTCAAACGGTTGTTTTTTGCTGTAAAACTTGATGCAGTCTTTGTTTGTCCCTTGTCCAGTCTCCTGATGAATTTTCAGGCCAGGGGCTTTTAAGGCTACGTCGTTTAGTATACATTTATGCATGAATGCTATGTTCTCGTATAAGCTATGTACAGGAACCTTATTTGGGCTGCCCGTAAGCTGAAACGAGCTGAACTGATTAACTGAACTGAATTCTTTGTATGGACGTAATAAAGTACTTTTTTTTTGCAACAGGGACCTATCGAACAACGGATTGACCAAAGTGCCTGTAGAATTTCTCAAACGCTACACCAACTTGTCAAAACTGTGAGAACCCTTCAAACATTTGTCTCGCCTTTATTTATTGAATAAGCGTTTGGTTGGGAATCCATGAATCCATCCATTCTTGAATCCTTGACTCTCAACTGGACGTACCTTAGTAAATGTAAAGTGGAAAGCCCCCCATAGTGGGTCCAGTTTTGTAAAATGAATAGTTTTCTCATACGGTTCTTTTTTCCTCTTTAGCATCATGGATCACAATAGCATTAAGGTTTTACCATCACGGAGTTTTCAGTTCCTTTCCTCGTTGGAAATCCTGTAAGTAAAGTTATTTTTAGCTGTTTATTGCGTTTGCGTGCTGAAAAAAAACATGTGGGTCCGAAAATGATTGTGAATTGCTTGGCTTCAATGGACGTTATTTCCTGTCTCATGAGGATTGTTCATCAGCTAAATCGCAAGTTTTGAGTTCTTTCTTGCTGATAACACACGAAGCCGTTCAGTGACTGACCACCATTTGATCATAAGGAGATAAAATTTTCCATTTTTTTCGATAAAAATTATAATCTTTGACAAAGGCGCATTGCTAGGGCTCTCTGTGGGAAAAAACCATGAGCAAGCATCGTGGAGCGCGCGCTTTATGGGCGTGCAGAAAAACAAACCATGGCAAATATGATTTTAAAAATAGCGGTGCTTATGATGGTTACAAGCATGAATACATAAGATTTCTTCTATGATTCATTTTCTCTTAATTGGATTTTTGGCTACAGCAATTTTAAACTCTTGATTGAAGAGTGCAAGTATAGGGTCCACTACTGATTGCAGTAGTACCCTACATTAGATTCCTCTTATGCTTAATGAGTATCTCTCAAATATTTACAGGTCCATCAAGTACAACTCCATATACAGCATTGAAAATAGCTCCTTTGTTGGCTTGCACAACCTCAAATCGCTGTAAGTGAATGAAATTCATAATAAGCCTAATATGTTAATTTCAATTTAATCCGGCCGATATATATATGTATATATAGCCGTGCTCGCCGTGTTTTGACTTGACCCGTTTAGAGTTTGTTTTAGAGTTAGATAAAAAAATGAATAAGTTTTGAAGGTTTTCTTTACATATTTATAAAGGACTATGAATATTCTACTAGTGAGATATGGAAGTGGAAGATCGACTGATAACATAGCACTTTTTCTTTTCAAATATTAACGATAAAATTCTCAGGAGAGATAACTATGGTAGATAAGCATTCAATACTTTCAATTGTCATCGATACCCTGAAAAAACTTCTGGGCTGATCAAAGTCAGGGCATGGCTAACTCACAGATCGAGTGGAATTTAGCGTGGTGATAACGATTGGTTATTATACAGCACAGAATTGCACAACAATATGGCTCCCCTGTTTTTCCTTGTTTTAGGCATTTCATTTGCTTTGGTATGAAATAAAAGGGGGTTTTCAAACTTTTTTTAGGGACCTTGCCATGAATGACCTCCATTTTTGGAAGGCGCACAACCTATCACGTGACCTACCCGTTTTACAGACAGTTCGCATCACAGGTGCAATCTTCTGGGTACCGGATGCTTCTCTCCTAAAGCTCCCGAGTCTGGTAGAGATCATTGGAGTCACATGGTGTAAGTTCTGCATCAACTGTACCTTAGTCAAGCCAGTGAACATCTTGAACGAGAGCGCACGTCGAGAAGCAGCTGAAACTTGCAGGGAGCGCTTCTATGAATATAAGTACATGCAAATTGGCAAGCCTGATCCGAAGCGGTTTCTTTCTCACGGCTTCATTCCCGAATGCATGTGCGTCAAGGAAACAGAATGCGAGTTTCGACAGCTTGTAATGCCATATTTTCAGACGCAGGACAGCTTACCGCAGTATCTATTTTACCTAGAATACGTCATCAGCCCCTTCACTATCTTATTTAATGTAATTGTTTTAGTCGTTATAGTCTCAAGGAAGACCCTCAGGGGAATCCCATCCTTTTTCCTCATCGCCAACATGGCTTTTGTTGATATTATAGTTGGGATCTACTCGATTACGGTAGCTGAGGTTAATATTAAGGAAATTGAGAAGATCCTAGAGGAATTAATGTGGACTGGGCAAAAACTCAGGCCATCTACGGGACCGATATTCATTGCAGGGCAGTTGATATCAGTTCTTATCTCCTCTATACTTACTGTAGAGCGTTACATTGTAGTGGTTTATTGCGTAACATCCAACCTCAAGCTTAGCATGAAAACTACGCTCATATCTTTAGCTGTGGCTTGGGGAATAGCAATCACGTTTGCTATTCTGCCCATATTTGGTGTTGCGGGATTGCGTTACAACATCAAACGCGCATGCGCTCCTCTAAGTTATGACGTCAAGTACCAATCACAGTCGTCGACGGTTCTAATTTCCATGCTGATTCTCATTGTGTTGATCTACTTCCTAAACATCCCGCTTTACTTCAGGATTTTTCGCTTTGTCAAAAAGAACGCCGGCAACGCAGTGTCTGGGGTTAAAAAAGAACTTTCACTCGCTCGCAAAATAGCTACTCTGATTCTCACGAATTTCGTGTTTTTTGCTATTCCTATTCTTCTTATTCTAATCATTTCTATATTTTCCGAGTATGACAACAATCCCTTTGATTTCAGCGGTGATGCTTTTGAGTCGACCATATTCAAAATCATCATTGGTCAGTGGCTCCCTGTCACGTGTTTGAATATCAACGCATTACTCGACCCATTTCTCTACGCATTCAGACATTCTATTTTTAAACGAGAAGCAAAAGCCTTGGTATTTCGCTATACAGGGAAGGTATTACCTCTAGATGATTCATGCACTGCTAATCCCGGAGCTTCAAAATCTACTGCTAATTGAAACAAACACACACCTACACATCCTTCATGGTTTTCATACTTACGAGTATTGGGGATCATGAGCGGCATACGCTAATACGGCCCTGTCTGTAACCGCTGTGTAGCTAGTTTAATGCCCGGGATATATAGCACCTGGTATGATTCTTGTCTGAGCCATGAATGTAGTGGTAATGCATGCATACATGGAGTGAGCCTCACGGAAGAGCCCCGTACGGAGAGTGATGGTTGTAAATAATAAGTTTTAAATTCTAATTAATGTATTTTTCTTCCTATTAATCTATTATCAAACTTTTTTGCTTATCATTTATTAAGTTATTACATCTAATTTATGATTAACTTATTATTCTTTCCATTAACGTATTATGAAACTATACATGACTATCCAGTTTGAAATCACTTGTGATTTGTCCAATTTGATTGGCTCTGCGGCAGCAGTAGTGCCATTAAACGAATTGCACCATTTTGACACCATCTATACAAAATATACACACGTACCTTATTAGCCCTTCCGAGGTTGAGAAAAAAACTTGTTAGAGTTTGCATTGCAGTTCATTGAGTGGCTGAGTTAGGGGACATTTCCAAGATGGCGTCTATTTTATTTCCTAAAACCGCCTCACAATGCACTGCAATGCCAACTCGACCCAGTTTTTTCCTAAACCTCGGAATGACTAATTGAGTCCCTAAAATTTTGTACTTGGGAACCTCTGTAGAGCTGTTACTGTCAAAACGGCCTCAAGCTTACCCTCCTAGATTCCAATAATGGTTTCATTATTCGAATATTTAAATCTATTATTCAGTTCCGAGAATATGAAGACTCCGGGTTCAAAATAATAAAACTCGAATTCTGATTGGATTGTCCCATATAAGGAACACCATAATCCAACCAGAATTCGAGTTTTGAATCGATAATTATTTTGAACCCTGAGTCTTCGGTATTCTCAAAAATAATAAATAGATTTAAATATTCGAATAATGAAACCATTAATGAAATCAAGCTTGAGAAATTCTGTAAATTGTGACATATTTCGGTGTCCTGGTATTAATTGCTCACACACAGACACACAGACACACACACACACACAAAGTAACGCGAAAAAAAATTCCCTCAATATGATTAACTCCTACCTTAAATAATCAGAACAATGGAAAATTTGGAATTAGGCACCCTATTACATAGCACCCTATTATATGGCACCCTATTATATATGACACCCTATTACATAGCACCCTATCATATGGCATCCTATTATATGGCACCCTATTATATGACACCCTATTATATGGCACCCTATTATATATTATAATGAAGGTGGTATGAACACAATAAACTTCAACTTGCACATATGGCATTTGTTTTAATGCGTGTATTGTTTCAGGAAGCCAATTGTTGCCGACTTTTGCTTTCAAAGCCCTTTTGTGGCACGGGTTTAGTGCTTGTACTTGATATCCCAGAAGCAAAAACATAAGCCGCTATGTTGGTTGCATATTGGAATCTTTTTATCCCTATTATCTTTACTCTAACACTTGTTTAGTAGAGGAATGTGTTAAGGAATGTGCATTGTTTTTTAGTAATGCTGCGCGATTTGAACCAATCATAATATGCTGAATTACAATTTAGCAAATAACTGGCGTGCCTCTTATCGAGGAAAAGATAGTTGAGATGGCGGATGAAAAGATGTTTATAACTTCGGTGCCAAGTTCCTCGTTAATGGGTCCAAATCAGGGAAATGGCTGAGGAAGATGATGAAGAGGAAGATAGCGGAAACCGTAAGCAATTACCATGCCACCAGAATTACTATTTTCAGAATTGTAATATTACCTTTACAAAGTAATAACAATGAACTATTTTTTTCATTCTGTACATTCACGAATAGTGGTAATCCATGTTAAAATTCGTTTAGAATATGAATAGTACAGAATGATTCATAAGAAAACCTTCATTTTCAAGAACCACGCAAATGCTCTTGGTTAACAGATTTGTGATATTGATGGGTTGCAAGCATTCCCAAGAGAGTTAAAAGACAAAAACATGGCGGCCGTTGTGATACCGTTAACAATGGACGCTAATGAGAAATCTTTTGTTAAATGGTACCAACATGGCTGCGATGACGTAATGTGCAAACGAAGAATAGATAACTAGAGACTAAAACTAGTCTAGAACCGTTTTTCATTAGAATTGCTGCTAATTTTGAAAATAGCAAAGCACCTTGGGGTATTTCAAGATATATTGTTGTTGGCATTATTCTTTAACGTTAAAACTTCCCTTTAATAAGCCAGTTAACAGTTTAAGGCCCCGTCCACACGTATCCGGAAATTTTTGCATCAGCAATTTTTTTTTTTGCGGATACGGGTTGCATCCACACCGGAAATGTTCAAAAACGGTCTCCAAAGTGGAAATTTTTGAATACGCTCCGAATAACATACGTGTGGACGGTCGTATCCGCAAATTTTCGAATACGCTGACGTAAACACGATTTTGCGCATGCCCAATAAGAAAAACTATCTGTCAAAGGGACTAGGCACTAGCGTGCATCAAGGCGGATCGAGCGGATCAAGAATTTTCCGGATACGTGTGGACAGTGAAAACGATTCGAAAACGATTCAAATACGCTGCGTGTGGACGCCAACATTTTCGTATCCGCAAAAAAAAATTTGCGGATACAAAAGTTTCCGGATACGTGTGGACGGGGCCTTAGTAAGCCAGTTAACAGTTTAATAAGAATTGTTTTCAGTGGTATGCGATTGTATCCCTAATTTCTCACCTTCTTTTATTTGATTAAAAACAAAAGAAGGTGAGAAGTTCGGGATAAAATCGCATGCTCACTGAAAACGATTCTTAATCTATGAACTGGCTAATTGAATTTCAACATTTTTAGGATAGTGAGGTAGGGGTTTGATAAAATCTATTGCGGAATTTGTTGATTAGTGACTGTGTCATGAATTATCTATGAGGTTGATGACTAGTGTCATTAACATAGCTAGGGGGAGGGGAATTGGAATAGATAAGTTGCTTTCTATTTTCAGTGCTTAACATAACAACAGATATCCCATAACCCTTTGCATCGTATAAATTACAACCAATCTTGTCTTTGCACTCATTCATTCCAACGACATCAAGATTGCCAATCCAGCCCAAGGCATGATGTAGTTTGCTATGCCAGCAGTGCGCATGGGTATACCGCTGCCCACTCTATCTTATTTATTTATCTTTTTATTTATTTAACTTAAATCTCTATTTTACGAGGGTAACATAACCTCTCAATTATCGAACGAAACGAACAAGTAAAAACTACAAAACTTGAAACCACAAAACTTGAATTATACGATGTAACAGTGTATGCAAACGAAAAAATAACTGGGCGGAAAATGGACATAATAGAAATTAGTGATAATTATCCAGTGAAACATTTAGATTTTATGAAATTAGAACAGCGAGCGTAGAGCAGGTCAGCATTACATGGTAAATCGCATGGTAACTCCTTGCTCTAAACAATTTCGGGCCTCAAGCATGATGAGTATTGATGACGAATCATTTCTTTAGATACTCATTCTTAGAGGCTTCGTGGACTGCAGCCTCCCCCCCCCCCCTTTTTTTTGGCTACTCCATATCTCATATATATTCATGTTGAATTCGGCTTCAGTTCCTGGGTTGTCCAGGTCTCAAAGTATTTTTTTTCGCCGATTGTAGCTTTCGAATTCAAAGTTCAAAATGTTGTTCAATCATTTTCTTATTATAGTACTTTTTTTTCAAATTCTCCCTTTTTAAACCAGAATTGAGTTATTAATTGCCGATCAAAAACGCATTAAAGGTCGTTAAGCGCACTTATGCCAATATCACAATGGAAAGTGTATATAAAGCTCAAACTGGAGTGTTAATTACCCAATCAAATTTCACTCTTCACATCAGAACGGACGTAGTTTGATTTTTATTGAATAGATCACAATATTATCCTCTTATATGAAAGTAGCTCATCGTCCGAATTTGCTCAAAAGTTTGTTCCTGTGTCCACTAAGTGCAAATGTACGAGAATGAAGCTGATCAGGATTTTCATTGTGAATGTGTTTCTCCTTCAGACTGTCAGCACCGAATTTGATCTCAATGAAGGTTGGTTTGTCTTCATTTCTATACGAAACTATTTCCGTCTTGTTCAGATATTATGAGTCGTCTCATATACTGTTATCTATTAGATAATCTCAATTTGCCATTAGTGATCTCAAAATTAATCCACATCGTTTTGGAAATGATAGGACCATATATGCTAAACATGCAGATATATTAATCACATTTTTGATTTAAAAATGAATTCTAGATGAAAATTCATGCTTAGGAAATTTTAAAGTATTTAGATCGATGTTCGTTTAGCTTGATCTCTTGAGAAATTTTCTGGAGGAACAAAATTATCGAGAAACTTTTGATAGTTTTTCCTACAATTTTGGTTTATAGACAACGTGCATTGTTAATTTAATGAAAAGGAAAAGGGGCCTAGAAGCAAACGGACACAAGATCAGTCCATATGCATGAGGAAGTAACTCAAACAATTTCCTGTGAATGCAACACTGCTCATGACAAGTGCAATAAATCAAAATCTCTCATTTCAATGACCGACCCGTTATATTGGAGTTATCTAAGTTGGAGTGGAAGATATAGAAATATAGATAAGTTATAGTGCTTGGGATGGCTACGGTATGTTTAGCGATGTGGAGCTTTAGAATGGCATATAGGTACGCCATTATAGGAAAACTAGTGTCATTGTGTTCTCAAGCCAGGCAAGGGAGGTCGGGGGGTTAGTTAAGCGATTATATGGCATATTTAATATACAGTCGATCCCAAAAACGTTATCCAAGTGAAAAGAGGTTTATAGGACAATAAATGTCACGTGTGGCATTAAATATTCAGTTTTACGCGCGTGGATTTTTAAAATTAGCATACTGATGCAAAAGTAAATTACAGTATTGAAAACTGAATTTGAAAGATGCCGCGGGCTTTCTCGGATGATTTAAGGAGGATAATGCATTTGTTTTATGCAAAAAACATACCAGGAGAACATACCGCTAATCTGTTTGTAAGTCCAGAAACGGTCAAACGGACGTGTGCGACATTCTACACTAGTGGAGACATTAATCCTTGGCCCGTCGGTCGGCCTCTTCAAACAGGAACACTTTTTCCGCATGAAGAGTATATCGTCATGGAGTGTCTTCTAGAACATTCTGAAATGCAATTGAATGAAATAGCGTCGAAAATATTCAATACAACTGGCTCTGCTTTTAGTGCCCAAACATTATGCAGAACGGTCCACAGGCTTGGATTCACGCGCAAGAAGGTATGGTACGTGCAGATTGGTTTGCTCATTACTTATTACTCAGTCTTGCAGAACGTTCTCTAAGTCTGGTAAGGCTTTCACTAGCTCAGAACGTAGCTCTGAAACGGTCYYTAACACTGGAAAATTGGGTAAACTTCTTACAACGTAGCTAGACTTCTTCTTGGAGTCCAAAACCCGAACTTCTAAAATCGAAATAACTTATTTTGAATTACCCGCTGTCGACATTTTCTGCCACGCATGTGATGCAGCACGTTCAGATCCCTAGTACCACACGCGCGTAAAACTGAATATTTAATGAGACACGTGACATATATTGTCCTATAAACCTCCTTTCATTTGGACAACGTTTTTGGGATCGACTGTATTTAAAAAGACTAGTGCTGGTAGACACACTCTTGGCAAAGTGTATATTTGAGTTGAACCGCTTTCGTATTCTCTGATAGCTTTATTTTGTATTCACCTATTTCAATAAACGTGGTCATCACCAAAGGCGGTAGGCGATAGGTCATTTGGACATCGAAATGGTTTGGTTGAATACAAAGAACAATGAATCAGTCTTAACTCTAAGGTCCATGTTCTTGATGAGAATAAGAAGCAGAAACACAAGTCATTCCAGCTATTGCTAGATCTTGGAATAACCTATCTCCTCATTACCTTTTACCTTTAGCCTATCTCCTATTGCCTATCGCCATTGGCAAAGACAAAGTTTATTGAAATAGGTGTATTCAATGCAAACCCCTGACATTTGGCGAGCGAACTTTGTTTCAGTCCTTTCCTCGTTATTATTTTAGTAGTTCTATGTAACTGACGGCCATTCTCCCACGTGGTCTTTAATTTTGGAGCCAAGATTTTATATTTTGCAATTCATTCCAGTTGGTTGTGGTTACTTGTTGGACAATTACTTGTTGGACAACTCCAGTATTTCATTTAGTGCTACATCCGGGGACCCTGGCCGTCCTTTACTTTCTGGAGAACCATGGAAGCCGACCACCATTAACTTTAGGAACTCCTTGACGGTTGACTTAGGTAAGTAAAGTCAGTAAGTGTGAATTACCTTTAATACTATAATTCTGGGAAGGTGCCCATGTCTTTCTGCTTGAATAGTCCAACTCTAAGAACACTTTAACACAGTTCTATAACGTAGTGCTGAATAAACGAGCAGGATTCGATGTACTGTTTAATAAACGAGCAAGAGTGTTTTATCGGGTATAAAACACGAGGCGCAGCCGAATGGTTTTAGACCCGATAAAACACGATCTGCGAGTTTATTAAACGGCTTAAAAAA